TAGATATTTCAAAAACATTAATGTATGATTTTCATTATAACTATATGATTAAAAAGTTTAGTAAAATCAAATTATTGTATAAAGATACGGATAGTTTAATATATCATATATTTACAAATGATTTTTACACTGATATAAAACCTGACCTTTCATCATACTTTGATACCTCAGATTATGATACAAATAATATTTTTGAATATCCAAAATTAAATAAAAAGAAATTAGGTTTTTTTAAAGATGAAAATAATGGTAAAATCATGAAAGAATTTGTGGGTTTACGATCCAAAATGTACGCTTTTAACTTAGAGAATAAGACTATAGCCAAGGCAAAAGGGGTAAATAAATGTATCACTAAAAAGATGACAATGAATAGTTATAAGTCTTCTCTATTTAATAAAAAAGTGCAATATTATAGTATGCTTAGATTTAAATCAATTAAACACACAATTTTCACACAAAAATTAAATAAGATAGGTTTATCATATAATGACACAAAGAGACATATTTTAGATAATAATATTGAAACATTAGCTTGGGGTCATTATAAACTACGTTAAGTGTTGATAGTTTTTACTTTTATGTCTGCGTTTAAGAAAAATTTATATTGATTGTAAAATTATGATAATACTATAATATGACGTAGTTTATTACATATTTAATCATTGTTTTATTGTAAATAATTTAAGTTAATTGTTGTTTCTATTTATTTGAGGTTGAGTTAATTGTAAAATTATGATGTACTAATTGTTGTTTCTATTTATTTGAGGTTGAGTTAATTGTAAAATTATGATGTACTAATTGTGTTAGAAATAGTATACAGATAATTCTGTTTTATATAATTTTTGGAATATATATTAATTGTTTACACCAACACTTTCATTTTTTATTTCACCCCTTTGAACTTTAGACGTGTGTTATGTTTCACTTTATCCATCCGTTCACTGCTATTGTGGCAGGACCAAGTGGGTGTGGGAAGTCAAATTTTGTAACAAATTTCATAAAATCAGTTACAGAAATATGTAATTGTGATTTTAATCAGATCACATGGTGCTTTGATGAAATGCAACCATTATATAATTTACCAAATGTTAACTATCATCAAGGAATTCCAAATCTTAATATTTTTGATGGTGAAAACCCACATCTTGTTATTATTGATGATCTAATGAGAGAGTCCGATGGAAGAATTGTGGATATATTTACAAAAGGTAGTCATCACAGGAATCTTAGTGTATTTTATCTAACACAAAATTTATTTCATCAGGGTAAAGGACAAAGAGACATATCTTTAAACTCAAGTTATATAATATATTTTAAAAACCCTCGAGATAAAACTCAAATAAGATATTTAGCAAGACAAGTATCACCAGATAACCCAAAATTCATTGAAAATGCCTACAGGGATGCAACTCTAGAGGCGCATGGATATTTAATGGTAGATTTAAAACAGAATACCAATGATTTTTGTCGTATCAAGACAAATGTCTTTCCATTTAATGGTTTCTGTACAGTCTACGTCCCCACAAAAGAGTTTAAATACACCAAGAATCAAACAATTGAAATCATTGCTAAATGATGCATCGTCGACTCACAACGTATAAACATTTGCTAACCGCTTTGCATACGCTTAAACCAAAATATCAAAGAGCATTACTTAAAACGTGTGATGAAGAAGAAATTAACTGTATTTGTGAGTGTATTCATAACGTTTTACAAGGAAAAGTACCTCTTAAAGATCAGGATAAACAAAAATTGAATAAACATAAAAACATACTCCGTAAACTAGTACGTAAGTGTAAACATAAACTAAGAAAAAATATAATTATACAAAAAGGAGGGGCTTTCTTACCAACAATATTAGGTGCAATATTGAGTGGATTAGTGAGTGGACTAGCCAGTTAACATGGAAAATGCAAAGAAAATGATACTTATCGAACCTGGATTGATTGAAAAATTAAAACAAGAAAATAAGGTTAATAGTAATTTATCTCGATTAGATATTGAAATGCAAAATATTATGAATAGTAAGACGGAAGACCGAAAGAAATGGATATTATATTTACAAACACTGCAAAGATACCTTCATTTTACCGAAGAGCATCGTCAACCACTCAAATTACCAATTTATTCTGATACATCTAATGAAGATTCAAATGAGTCAAAAATTGGTTTTAAAAATAAAGATAGAGATCTAAAAACTTCAGTTGATATTGAATCTTTGCTGGAGGAGAATCGATCCATTAAAAGTAAAGAAAATGATGAAAATCCACTTTACACACCAGCTCAAATACTCAGTTTAATACCAAAAACTTATCATAAAAAAGGGCAGTTATTATTAAACTTAGTTGAAACAAGTAAAAGTAAAATACATTGGGATAACGAAGGTACAGTCATAATTGATAGTGAAAAAATTCCTGGAAGTAATATTGTTGATTTAATAAATGATTCACTAAGACCCCTAAAAAGAAGTGATCCGGTAGGGTGGGTTAGATTTGCTGAAGCATTAAAAGATATTAAAGTACCACTTACTTATATTGGAAATCCAAGGAGATGTGAGTTTATTAACCAACTTCAAGCAAAAGATCTGAACAAACCCTCTGAGATTGAAGTTCAAGAGTTTTCTACACCGTGCAGTAGAGATAAAAAGTCTACAACTAAAATACGTAAAGGACTTGAGTGGGAAAAATGGACTCCGTACTAGAAGAAATTAACAGGATTTATTATGATCCATCTAATCCCGCTGGTTTTGGTAGTATTGATAAATTATCAAAAGCCATGAAGGGTAAAATGAATAAAAAGCAAGTAAAGGAATGGTTAAAATCACAAGAAACATACACATTACATAAACCCATTCGAAAAAAATTCCCGCGTAATAGGTACATTCTATCAAATATTAATGAACTGTGGCAAGCTGATTTAAGTGATATGCGAACTTATTCTCAATATAATGATGGTTTCAAGTATATACTTTGTATTATTGATGTATTTAGTAAATATGCTTTTGCAAGACCAATGAAAAAGAAAAACTCAGAAACAACTAAAGAATGTTTTGAAAGTATATTTACTGAAAGTAATTTAACACCTACTCACATACAATCCGATAAAGGTACAGAATTTGTTTCAAAAGATGTACAAAAATACTTTAAATCCAAAAAGATTAATTACTATACCACTAACAATCCTGGCATTAAGGCCAGTATTGTTGAACGATTTCAAAGAACACTAAAAATGAAAATGTGGCGTTATTTCACTCATAATAATACTTATAGATATATAGATGTTTTACAAGATTTAATATACTCTTATAATCACAGCTTTCACTCTAGTATTAAGATGTGCCCATGTGATGTAAATTCCAACAATATTATGACAGTTTGGACTAATCTTTATGATAGACGGTCAAAAAAACTTTCTTTAGAAAATCCTAAACCAAATTTCAATGTGGGTGATTATGTTCGAATAACTAAATATAAACATGTATTCCAAAAAGGATATGAATCAAATTGGAGTGATGAAATATTTATTATATCTTCAATAATTGATAGATCTCCATGGGTTGTTTATACAATAACAGATTTACAAAATGAACCAATAATTGGTACTTTTTATGAAAGAGAATTACAGAAAATCACTTACAACCCCACCTCACAACATAAAATAGATAAAATAATTGACACTCGTTATTCGGGTAACAGAAAAGAAGTATTAGTGAAGTGGAAAGGTTATCCAGATAAATTTAACAGTTGGATTTTAGCTTCTAGTTTAAAAGAAATATGAATAAAGAAAGTTTCTATTTAACTTTGCTCAGCAATAGTTCAATGGAATACTTTCCTGATAACAAGACCACAAATTTTTCAACGAAATTACCAAAAGCTATAAAATTAGAAGGTGAATGGTCGGTTGGAGTTGTCGAGTTTCAATATCCATGTACCATGTTTACTGTTCAAGACCATGAAAATGTTATATACATTACAAAATCTATGTTAATGCCTAATGAAGATAAGCCATCCACAGTGTACTACAAAAACATATTCCAGCTACCAACTATGATAACGTTGAGCATATTTTAAGAGTGTTAAATGGTATCGGAGAGAACTTGAAATTTCGCTATGATGAAATAACAAAATTTGTGTCTATTTCGGTATTGGATAAAAATATAACATCCGTAACATTATCACCCAAATTAAGTTTACAGCTAGGTTATGAACCAAATAAAAATCTCCTAGAGAGAAATTTTGGAAAGTGTCCTGCTAATTTACACTTAGGGTTACCATCTCAACTATTTCTATATTGCGACATTATCGATCCTCAGATTGTGGGTGATGTTATGACTCCTTTATTAAGAGTCATTTCATTAGATCCTACAAAATACATTTATGGTGCAAATAAAATGCACGTTTTCTCTCAACCTCACTACTTACCTGTTATGCGAAGAGAGTTCAATACGTTGGAAATAGTTATAAGATCGAGTACAGGACAAAAAATACCATTCATGTTTGGAACCGTGTGTATTAAACTACATTTCCGAAAATTATAATAATGAATTCTCTTCGTGATCATCATAAATGTCCATATGAAAATTATTATACACATCAAGCTGGATCAGGAGTTGGAGTAATTTATAAGGGTTCACCATATCAACGCGGTCATGGTATTGGGAGCTTCTTAGGGGGGTTATTCAGATCAGTTTTACCTTTACTTTCAAGTGGTGCTCGAGTGATTGGTAAGGAGGCATTAAGCGCTGGAGTAGGACTTTTATCGGATATGGTTCAAGCCCGTCCTATGGAAGCCTCAATAAAAGATCGTCTAAAGCAAGTTAGTACGAATTTAAAACGAAAGGCTGATGAGAAAATTGATCAATTTAACATGACTGGATCTGGGTATAAAACTAAAAGAAAACGATTGACATCGTTCATTCCACCATTAACTGCTAAAGTGAAAGCTGCGAAAAAACTTAGTCTAAAACCAAAAAATATCAAAGATATATTTTCAAACTAAATATGTCTTTCCTTCATAATCATTCTTGCGAGTGCGTTAAGTCAGAATTGGATTTGTTTGCACTACCGTCTACACAAACTAGCATTGAAAATGGATTGTGGATTCATTATAAACCAATTTCATCTCTTGGTGATGATGGACCTATCGAGTTTCAAGTTCCTGGGACCGGCGATGACTACATAGATTTGTCTCATACATTACTCCACATAAAGGCAAAAGTATTAAATCAAGATTCAACTAACTTGGTATCTACTACAATAGTAGCACCTGTAAATAATTGGCTGCATTCACTTTTTAGTCAACTTGATGTTTATTTAAACCAAAAACTTGTATCACCACCTAATAATACCTATGCATATCGAGCATACATGGAAACCCTTTTAAACTATGCCCCTGCTGCTAAACAATCTCATCTTACTTGTAGTCTTTGGTATGAGGATACAGCAGGAAAAATGGATTCTACAGATGGTAAAAACATAGGATTTGTTAAAAGACAGGAATTGATTAGTGAAAGTAAGGAAATAGAAATGATTGGTCATCTTCACGGTGACATTTTTAACCAAGATAAATTTTTAATTAATGGTGTTGAAATGAGTGTTAAATTGGTTCGATCAAGAGAGAGTTTTAATTTAATTGTTGGATCAAACGATGTAAAGTTTAAAGTTTGTATTACGGACGCAACTCTTATTGTTCGACGAACACGAATTAATCCAAGTGTATTACTCGCACATCAAAAAGTTTTAGCTTCTACCACTGCTAAATATCCTATTACTCGAGCTGAAGTAAAAGTTTTAACAATTCCTTCGGGTGTTCAAGGAAAAACTCTTGATAATATATTTTTAGGACAGGTACCGTAAAGATGTATAATTGGATTTGTGAACAATTCTGCATTTAATGGTTCCCTTACTAAAAATCCATTTAACTTTGAAAACTATGGTATTAATTCTTTCAGCTTATATATTGATGGTCAACAAATACCTTCAAAAGCTTTGCAACCATCTTTTAATAATAGCATATTTACATCAGCATATCATACTCTATTCTCGGGAACTGGTATTCACTTTCTTAATGAAGGAAATGGAATCTCTTGTGAACAGTATGGCAAAGGTTACTGTCTATTAGCATTTGACTTAACTCCTGATTTATCAGCTAACTCATCAACTCATTGGAATCTCATAAAGCATGGTAGTGTAAGAATAGAAGTACGATTTGAATCCTCATTAATACAAACAATTAACTGTATAGTTTATGCTGAGTTTGATAATATTATTGAGATAGATAAAAACAGAAATGTTACTGTAGACTATAGTAGTTAAGGTTATAATATGTGTTGTGTGTTAGATTTTATGTGTTATGTGTAATGCATTTTGTGTGTATGTAACTATGTGAAACGTTATAAAATTAAATAAAACAAATTGTATGCAATATATTTTTTTTATTTCTTTATAAATCTTCTATTTAATCTAATACAAAACACTGTTCGAGTTGAAATTTTACATAAGCACACTGACTAAACCACTGAACATGCTGCTGCCAAGGATCATCATCATCTTCCCAATCTTTTAAACCACCACCACAATGGAAACACTTGGTCCCGTCTGCATGGCCAGTATAAAAGAAACCAGCTTCGGCAAGATCTTCAGATTTCTGTCGCATAACTAGAGGCCAGTTTTCGAAACTAAGCAAACGGCTAGATTTTGAACTGAAGAATGGATATTCAGCTCTTGAGTACTGCATACTCTTCTCGTTTTCTTCTCCACTCAGTGTTGTAGTTTTGTTATTCAATGATGTGTTTTGTACACGTATGCCACACTCATCTCTTCCTTCCGCTCTTGTCTTCCTGTAATTGAAGTAAACAGAATCACATTCACTAATGATCAGCTAATGACTGTCATTGTTAAAAAAGTATTTTTTAACTTTTTCACTTTCTGCTATTGTCTTTGTTATATTGTATACGAGGGCGTTTGTATTGTCGTAGATGCTATCCTTATTAGTCTTTACGTAATATTTAATTCTCGTGGAAGCATGTTTCCAATGATCAGTAGTTGGAATCTTGGATAGCTTCTTCATATCGTACATTTCAATTTTGATGAGATGCGCCGCTTGGTCTCCGTCGTCAGAATTAGTAGAAATGTATGATACACCATCTCTAGCGGCTCGTGCTACGGTTGATGATAACAGCTTCCTCTTTTTTATTTTTGATTCAGCTTCAAAAAAATGATCAATCGATTGCGATTTTCTTTTTCCACCATCGCATGTGTTATTATTAATGACGAGGTTATCACTCTCTTCTTGAGGGGAGAGTGGCGAGTAGTAATACTGTTAATAGGTATCTTCATCGAAGCTCAATGATTTCTGCAACAACACAGTTATCATGTTAATATCAATTTGTTAACACTTAATCATAAAAGTTAAAAAAGTTAAAGTTACAGCCTATTAAAGTCCACTGCTGAACATAGGTCTTCTTTCATTTCTGAGAGGGTTTTAGAGCAAGGAAATGTCCGCCGCGCTCCCTCAATGTGTGTTGGCGAACTTCACATGCCTTCGAAATTTTCTCAGACATGCAGGTTTCCTCACGATGTTTTCCTTCACCACCAAGCACGTGGTAATAAGCACTTAAAATTGCTATTAACAATTTAATTGGTGCTGGCGGGGATCGAACCCGGGTCGCGTACTGTGAAATTTACAGCTAGCGCTAACCATCTGAGTTACCACGGCTTAATCATATACATACACAATATTTAAATAAAATAATACACACACATGAAAATAACAGAAAAAAAGTAATTTAGTCAATAGAATAAACACTTACATCCATAGCCTTTGGTGTATTGAAGTAACACAAATGTACTATTGATAGATCCACTGTAGCCAAACGACCGTACACTAACTCGATGACTGCGTTTGTTGGTCTTATATACCACCAGTACGTAAAAATTCTAATCTAAAGTATTTCCGTAATGAGTTGATAATTACTTTATGCGTCAACCAGTTTATCTCACATTTCCGTTGCCTATCTCAACATTTCTTCGTATTGTGTTTTGTTTGGTGATCAATGACTCAAGTACGATTTGTATAACACAAAAATGGAATTTAATATTTAGAAACATATCAGTTTATCTCACATTTCCGTTGCCTATCTCAACATTTCTTCGTATTGTGTTTTGTTTGGTGATCAATGACTCAAGTACGATTTGTATATCACAAAAATGCAATTTAATATGTAGAAATCACTATAATTGACCATTCCTATGTTATTCATTGAGTAGCTAGGTACTGTAATAATCTACTAATAGCAGTAATATCATGGATACACTAGATGTACAACAACATCTGAAAAAGATTCACCCCAGTCTAGAAAATAATGTTTATGCAGCTAATAGACTGCCTATGTATACCCACGTACCAACGTATATAATATGTAATTTGGATACAGATGATAAACCAGGGTCACATTGGGTAGCTTTATATATCGATACGAATGACGTCGGTCAATATTTTGATTCATATGGACGATCACCTGTACGATATCATCTAGAGTTTTTAAAAAGGAATTGTAAAAGATGGAACTGGAATGTTGATAGGATTTAGAATGAGTGGACTTCAGTTTGTGGCGAATATTGCTTAATGTATTTACTATATAAGTTTCAAGGATGTTCAATACATAGTTTTACGAGTATATTTACAAGGAACACATTGTACAACGATATTTTAGTGGATGAGATGTTTCGCTCCTATTTTATAGATAATAATTAATAATATTTTGTATTTTATAAATAAAAATTGTAACAAAATTATGTAATGTGTTTTATTGATGATTCAGATTAGCGTTGTATAAACAAAGAATTATAATAAACAATAGCACTGATATAGTCGACGCACACGCTGCAATGAAGGTGATTAAGGAACAATAGAACAATAGAAATAGGAACAACAATGGGACGCTAATGACGGTGGAGGCCCTTACCGGATATCAATTAGATATTAGCTAATTCATCTACACATCTCCGGAACCGTGCATTCTACACAAAAATGGACCGCGGATTCGTGATCAGAGCATGCCAAAACCTTTTTTTTTTTTGTTTTTTTTTTTTTTTTTTTTTTTAGGATCGGGCGTCGACGAACGTCGTTGAACCACGTCTGACTCAGGTGGTCTAGAAGTGGTACAACTACACTACTTACGGCTGCTGTTGTAGTCTGGGCTATTTCGTAACTTTGGCTTAAATACACTGATAATGTTATTCTTAAAGTGATAACTTTTCTATTTATATTTTTATAAATGAATACTCATAAACTTGACATTTAAGACAATTTCTCTCAATTAAAGAGATAGGAGAGAGATAAAGCCCTAGTGTAGGATGCTACTTGCGTAGACACTTTGGCTGCCTCTCATTTCAAGGGCATCTCGTTTATAGCTGAATTAAGTCAGTGGCGCAAATATGAGTTTCTGAGAGATGACTATATATTTGTGCCATTTGCTGTGAAGACTATCGTCCGTGGGGTCCACGTATGGTGAAGTCCTAAAGGAATTGTATCTGGTCGTAGCTGCTGGTGATAAAAAGGCTACCACTACTCTCAAATGCTATAAGCCATTCAGAGAGGAAACTCAGCCAGCGTTCTTGGCACGATGCTACGAGGAGTAGGACTGTATGATAATTTAAATATTTATTTTTAGTTTTCCTTTATTATATATTTTTTTAATATTGTGTGTAACTTTTAGTTAGATTTAAAAAATGTGTTATACCTACTTATTAAATTAAAAAATCCACATTGAATTTTTTCTATAATTTTTAATTTTAATTATTGTAAATTTTACTTATTTTAATAATAAGTTTTCATAATTTTTTTTTTATAGGATAAGGGTGACAAACGGGCACACAGTCCACCTGATGGTAAGTGGTTGCTGCGGCCCATAGACATCTACATCTATCATCGATTACGAATCAAAATGCAGATGCGTTGTCACTCGTGAGGACAAAGATGGAATGCCTCATTTCCAGTAAAAAGGGTCTCCGGTTCTCTACACTCACCATACGAAACACAGCAGCGTTAAGCTGCTATTTTACGCTGGTATTCTGTGATATTAAAATTATCTGTATAATTAAAAGATAATTACAATCTTGGTAAAACTTTGATAATAAGATTATCTACTAAAGTTTCGGTGGAATCCCCGTGTAGTGGCGGTTAAGATTACCTCCTACCCCATATCTTTCCGTGGGTGTTGTAAGAGGCAACAGAGGGGAACTGAGGCAGAAGATGGGCAGCAGCATTTTTCTGATAACAGCAAATTACAATAAAAAGAACTGCGGTTGCCAACCCGCTCACCAAGCGTGGCAACTATGACAATATATCTACCATGACGGGAGTAATAAAAAGAAGGCCCCTAGTCCCCGGCGGCATCACTATTCCTAGCTACGGTGGTGACCATGGTCGCAGCGAGACAAGGGGTGCTAAGAATCTCCGGCGGAGGTTCGGTTGCCACCAAAGACGACTCGACCTGGCAACGTATACCGCACACATACTGAGGACTGACGAGAAGATCCTGGAGCTAGAAGATGAGATAGACTAGTTGCGCTGGAATATTATAGGATTATCTGAAGTCCGAAAAGAGGGGGAGGACATGGTAATCCTGGTATGGTATGAGCAAAGATGGTACATGGTAAAGGTCATACGGGTTTACGCACTAACCTCGGCACATCTCGATTAAGAGGTGGAGGAAATTTATGATGAACCCAAGAAGCCATCAGTTGGCCGACTTTATGGAGAAAGAATGACTCTTTATGATGAACTTTTTCTTCAAGTAGCGGCCGCACAGAAAGTGGACCAGGTCGACTCCCAACGGTTCAATAAAATATGATATTGACTTCATTATGGTGAGTAGGCAACAATTGTTCATTGATGTATCAGTGATTGTGAGGGAGCGACTGACCCTTACGAAAGTGTAAGTGTGCTGTAAAATCAGTTATAATAATGCAATACCACGTATTTTGAATTTAAAAGATAAATATGATAGAATGTTTGAGATTTTTTAAATTAATTTTTCTTCACCATTTGCCTAAATTAATACCTGAACCTTCTCTGCAAATTTGGCCGGTTATTGCAAAATATCGAAGAACCGGCAAGCGATGGGGAAAAAAGGTTCTTGAGTATCAGACTTGTACCGGCAGGCGACAGTAAGACATGCAGGAAGTCAGTGGATGCAGGTGTCTTGGGACCGTACTTTGTGGCATTCCTTGGGGGAGGCCTATGTTCAGCAGTGGACTTGTGAAGAGCTGTAACGATGATGAATGATGATAACCATAATTATTAAGATGTA